CATAAAACACTGTGACATGTTCACCAACTAAACGTTGTTCTCTCTTGTATTGCTTATCAACCAATAATAATAAAACGAAACTGATTTTTTTCTCCTTTCTTTCTCGCTCTCTCTCTTTCTCTTCTTCGCTCGTTCGCTTACGAAATAGTAAAAATCTTGTATACATTTCTCTTTTTTTGTTCTTCTCAGCGTGATCTCTAGTCTTATTGCTTGTCTATCTCTGTAAAGATTTCTTCTATTTTTTTGTTAATCTGTGTTTTTTTTGCTCTTGTTAGATTTGTTCGAAATGAAAAATATTCACATTAAATAAATGAACTTCATTTTGTATTCTTTTTTTTCTGTATTGAAGATGTTTCTGACAATGGAGAGTCAAAATCAATCAACAAGCAAAATTATTTGGCGTATCACCAATGCCATCGGTTGTATATTCTTTCTATTCGCAGCTTTTGTTAACTTAAACGATCATGATTGGTATTTGTGGGTAACGATTTACATGTGTACATCGATATTTCTCGCGATTGAATTGTTTAACTACCGCTCGTTATCAAATGTGATTATCTGTATGAATGCATTTGTATTTTGTTTGATCATTGCATATGGTTGTCACTTTTTATTTAAATATCAATATGAAGGAAGTACGATGAACGTGAAGAGCCACTTTTTGCATTACGAAGAAGGAAGAGAATTAAGTGGATTAGCTTTAGCAAGTAGTTGGCTATTTTTAGTTCTTTTGAATCGTTTATTATATTTTAATTATCGTTTATCATTCGTTGTTGTTCTTTGTGGATTGTTACTAACATTGGTACCTGTTGGCATGTGGTCGGTTTGTTTCGTATCAGATGACTGGCGACAACGGTTCCCGCAGTGTCATACAATGCTTGTTTCTGAAACACATTCTCATTTTCAGCCAACGTTTTAAACAAATTATCATGTATACTACTTTGCCTTCTTATGCATGATTACATCTATTCTATTAGTTGAGTATTTTTCAATACTAAAGTCCATTCCAATCTTTTGTTCTTCTTCTTGTTTTGTCCTCCAAACTGCATGCTACGTTCTAATTGATACCTATTGTTATCTACTTGTACATACATAGTTAATCTTTGTAATAAAAATACAACGAAAATTCTTGAGTTGTTTTAGATAAGAAGAGAATCATGTATTCAATTTTGATTCTATTGTTGCTCGGTATACTTTTGTTAAGTATAATCGTCTATTTAATGGCTCACTATGTTCTCAATGAACAACAATTATTTAAACTTAAATATACGCTTTATGCGAGTCTAGTCATCTTATATTCAATTATATTACCACCGATTTTTCTGCTTCATCCACGCAGTGCTTTGAACATACGTCTCTCGGCCATTGGTTTGAATCCATTTCTTCGTTTGTTCGGTATGAAGTATCGTGTGGAGAATGGACAAGTCTTGGACGATAGTAAATCTTGTGTGATTGTGGCAAATCATCAGTCATCAATTGATTTTATTGGCATGATGTATCTTTGGCCGAAACATATTCATTATTGTACTATATTAGCAAAGCGAGAGCTGCTTTGGGCTGGACCATTCGGTCCATCATCGTGGTTAGCAGGCGTCGAATTTGTCGATAGAAAAAATCGTCAACGAGCAGCAGAAACAATGCAGAACTTGATCGAAAAACTCAAAACCCAATCGCTTCGATTGTGGGTGTTTCCTGAAGGTGAATCGATTAATTGAACTTCATATTCTTTTTAACTATGAATTTATTCTCATCATATAGGAACAAGAAATATGTCCGAGACATTTCTTCCATTTAAGCTTGGCGCTTTTCGCACAGCTATTGAAGCACAAATACCCATTGTTCCCATTGTTTTTTCATCATATAAACCAATATATAATGTCGACAAATCGACGAATAGTTATTATTGGCGTCCCGGTTGTGTAACGATCAAATGTCTTGAACCGATCAATACAACAGGTATGACACTTGACAATGATCTTCAACGATTGACTGACATGACGCGAAAACGCATGATGGACGCATATCTCACAATTCAAACAACTGTGATCAACGACAAAAAGCACTGGTGATAATGAGATACTTGAGAACGAATGTATGCATTTGTTCTTAACTCCAATAAGGGCCGGTGATCTTATGAAGAGTTTTTGTTTTGCTTAAGTATGATATCTTCTTACTCATATATATTCATTCTCGATCGTACTCGTTGAACGAATATACAATGAGGTTTTTTTTTCTCCCGACATTTTATTTTCATCTACGTGTGTAATCCAGGTTGATAAACTCATCTTGTTTGCTTTCATTGCCTATTCCCTATTAATCTTCTATCCGGTTTTTTTTGTCATTGATCATGACATTATGTTAACAAAGAACAAACAAAAAAGAAAAAGACCTAGTTTGAATATCACATCGTATAATGAAAGTCAAAAGGATCTACAGTCGAAGTTGAGATTCCCTTGACGTTATGTTTGCTAACAGTGACAAATTAATTATTTTATAATCGATCGACAGAGTTATGTAGGTTGAGTTATTCGATACTGGGTTTTCGGAATATTTCGCACCCGAATGATTCCAGCTCCACATAATGAAATCTCGCTAATTTTATTATTATTATTGAAATGTGTCTGGATTTATTTACATCAAAAGAGAAACATCCGATTAGTGATTAACGTGTTCGAAAATAATCATTTTATGATGACTTTCCCTCTTCTTGTGTTGCTCATAAAATGAAAGAGAAGAAATATGTGCTACGCTTGATTCTATTGATGCAAGGCAGCTGTTGATGGTGCGTCAGTTAATGGATCATCTTGAGTCGTTTGGTAGATTCGTGGGATTTTCAGTAATTTTGAATAACTATGTTGACGACTAAAGAATATTCGAGACAAATTAGTTTCAATAAAAAGAAGATATGTCTTACATTCTTTGAAAGAATAAAACAGTTAATCCAAATACCGTAGCAACAAGAAGAATTCCCAGAAGAACAAATAACAAGCGACTTGTTCGACTGACGAATGAATTTTCATTGGAATAGTTGGGAGTAAAGAACAAACGGCCTTCATTCGAACGTTCGATATCAATTTTCGTTTGAAGTAACGCTCCTAAATAAAACAAAAGCAATCGATTAAGCAAAAACAATACAATTCGCTTTTCGCGACGTTCTCACTTGTTAATAATCCGGTGTAATTGTACAGGGAAAGTGTATTACCCATTCGAGTAGTCATTGATAGCACAGGTTTGTCTGCTGTTATATTCAATTGGATCGATGCTAAACTGTACTGAACAGCATGCATTAGATGTACGTTAGCGATCCCATATCTATTTCGAAAGTTTATGTTAGTCGAATGAGGGTGAGAAAGTTGAATATTTACTCTGCGTCACAAAGATAATCTTTTTTACAGAATTCGTTTAAATGATGAACAATGATGGGACAAGTTTGATTCCACAATGAACGCTCATTCCACTAATAGAATGAAATTATGAATGCAAACAAATAGTCGTTATGCTTCTTACTTGCTCTAATGTAATTCCATCGAGTATCATCGACACGGGTAATGTAGTTTTAAGACTGTCTAAACAAGAAGATTTCGGTGATATTTTTACATATAAATCAAATAAAATTCTACCTGTTTGTGCAATCTTTACTGTCGTCAGAAGTGTAGCAACTACAATTGAGATGAGCATCTTTCCAGTATTGGCACGAACGGGGTCAATAAGATCAGTAACTGAACTGCGCGCGTATATGTATATATCTAGACGAGATATCTATTGTGATCTGATGCTGTTCCTTTTATTCTCCTCCTATTATTATTTAGATGGCCATCAATGTAACGTTGATGGGTGATGATTTATTTTTTTAGCGCATAGAAAGATACTGTCCGACGAAGGAAAAGAAAAAAGAAAACACATTTTTGTCTTGCCTCGATCTATCGGATATGCTACATAGAAGAATGAGCGTGCATTTAATTGCTAGTCATTTCTCTCTCTCTCTATTTCTCTCTGGGGCTTGTTTGCTTTTTATGGCAGAAGCCGTTGAGCATTCTTTTCGTTCACATGTACACATATGTGAGAGATCAAAACATCTGAGATGGAAGGAAGCAGAAGTGACGATGATGTTCAATCGGCAGTGATTTCATATTCTGACTTATTTTGTTCAAGAGAATGAGAATAACATAGAAAGAATGTTTGACTTATCAATCGATTCTTTCCAGAGGATATACGTCTAGCAGATGTGGAAAAAAACGACTGAAATGAATCAATCATTTTTATGATGAATCTTATCTCCTACAGTCGAAACTTGAAATAAAACAAATCGTAGTTTAATGCGAAACAGATTGTTTCCGAAAGAATAGACGACAGCGTCTGCATTACGATGAAAATTCTAAATCGATATGCTACGTGATTGTTGTGTAGTATGGACCTATAAAGGATACGAAAAGATGACATAAGGCATGGATAAAAACGAATATCTGCACACAAGTTTTCAGAAAATCTCTGAATAGAAGTAGATCAATAGGATGTATGTCTGTGCGTCTCATGTTCGCGTAAATCTGAATGAAAACTGAGCTGAAGATTACGATGAGATGACGTGTTCAATGTTGGACTATTAATTATTCGATTCCTCTGAAAACAAAACGACATCTGACACGCTTTCTTTTTTTATCTGTAGATTACAATCGGAGAATATCCTGAATTCGCCTATTCATTATAATGTGTTTTCTAATTGAATATGAATATTCAGATCTGATAGAAAATATACCTGCATAATTGGATATATGACGTATCCGGTAAACTAAATGAACCTTATTTTCGAAAAGGAATTTGGAGTCATCAATCGTGTCCGACATCGTTTCACCATTCTACTATTGCAAAGAGAAGATCGAATTCGATTGATAAATTACGTTATATTTGTTGTTTAAAATTCATAATCTATTGCACAGACATTGACGAGTACAATATAAAAAAAGGAATGGGAAAAGGAAGTCACTGTTTGAGGTCGTTCGAGTTTATACTGTAAATTTCTTTTCGCTCTTATCGACATGCCAATACATCCGAACAGTTGTGCGATCAAGCCAGTTCATGTCAACCTTCTTCATTGGCGATGGAATCGAACGATCGAGTCGTTGAGCAGCATGTCGAGACACTAGATGAATCGTATTTGATGTACTGAAAAATGTATTCGATGATGTCTACAAAGCAAAACAACAAGATGGCTTTTCCTTGCGAATACCAACAAGATGCAGAAGAGAAACTCACTTGCCAAAAGTATAAAATTCCTTCGTAAGCGGAATAGGAAGCCAGATATTTGCCATCCGGTGAGAATTCGACACAAGTAATCACTTCATTCTTTGGATGAGCTTGAAATGGCTTGAATAAAAAACAAAGCAAACTAATATTTCTTCGAAAAACAGATTTTATCTTTACTTGGTATTTCGGTGTCTTTAAATCATACAAAGCAAGAACACCTGTTTTCGTACCAACACATAATTTCGGTGAGTCATAACAGTAAGTTACTATTGGATATCTACACAACAATTTTAGAATTTCTAAAATGACGATTGATGATCATAACTTTTTACTTTAGTAGTAATCCGAATGTTTCATGTACGGCTTGAACACTTTTATGTCGAAGAGTGCTTAAATCAATGCAATTCAATATAATATCGGTAACCTGAAAAATCAATAAATTTCGATCCGTATTTGTAATCATCGAGAGCAATTATTTTACTTCAATAATCAATTCCGCAACATCATGCGGACATTTTTCGATAAGGATCTTGATTAAACGAAGTATTTCATGTTTTTGTTCGTTTCTTATTGTCATTGTCGTTTGCGATGGTGCGGCAGTGCGTGCTGCCGACGACGATGTTTGACCAGATTGCGAAAGAACATGTTTGGCTATCTCACGTGCTAATGTAATGATGACTACATTCGAACGAGATGTAGCAATCAATGTCAATGCAGTTCGTGCTGTTAGGCAGGTATCTGTTTTAGGTGTCAAAATTCCGCTTATTACACTAAATGAAAAAACAAAATATTCGATGCAAACTTTGACTAAATTAACGAAAGAAGTTTGCGGGTTAGAATACAAAAAACGAAACACAGACAATGAAGGAAAAAAGCGTGCATTAGGTTCTAACCAACACACCTCGTTTCATGCCGTTTGATTGTTAAATCGATTTGTCTAGATAAAAACAAAGCAAGCATTCCCCTCCACCCTATGGCTTTTCATACTACCTGCTCGTATAGATATTAGGCTGCCTGAAAGTATTCCTCGCGCTCAAACCTTTGTACTCTGTTAGATATGATTACTCACTTGCTGGAGATCGTTGTACTATCACTGATCGCACATAGATCAAGCAGTGTTAATAGAACTTGTCCGATATCTAAATATGGTTCCCAGATTGTATAACCACGACCAATAAGATCGATCGCTGTTCGACGAATAACAGTATGAATGGGTATATGATCGAAGTTCGATGGAGATAAAAGACTTGTTAAGATTCGACCTATAAAGAATGAAGGCAAATGATCATGTCGATATTCATGAGTATGAAATCGTTCGCACTCAGTTTTAAAATCATTTCAGGGCTATCTACAGTAAATCCTTTGATTGGCGCATTTGATTGTTTTGTTTGTTCAACTTCTTGTCCGTACCGCGCACCGATAATGCCAATCAATATAATTGATAACATCTGTTGAGTTTTATACTGTTGATTGACTGTTGTTACTGTCGCTGTTTCGTTATGAACTAAAAGCAACAGTTCCATCAATAGGGATGCAAGCTTTCCCTTTCTTTTTTTTGAAAGATCTTACATGGCAAATCATCGAGAAATATATCACGAATATCTTGATCGTATAGCGCACCATCGGCTTCTTTATTATATGATTGATTGAACAGCATTGACCATTTGGATATGAATATATGCCATGCGTCATGATTTTTATGCAAATGGTCAAGTTCTTTTTCGAGTAATTTCCGTGCGGCATCTCGTAGCTTGAAATAAAGAACACAATTCTTCGAATTTCAAAATGAAAATGTACCTCTAGACATAGATCTTGCCAGTGTGAGCATAGAATTTCGATAGACAATGATTGAAAAGTTTTTGTTTGACATTGTTCAAGCATATCAGAGCAATAAAACTGTAATAATTTACTCCATGCTTCTCGTTGATTTAACTAAGATTCAGTTCATCAACAATCAACTTATCAAAGCATTTCTCTCTACTTACTACTGCTTGGTCACTTTGATCATTTGGTCTAAATACAAACAAAGTTTTCGGATGGTTCATTTACAAAATCTCGAACTTACACATTGCAGATCCATCGATCACAATTCATTAAAATATAAACCATCGTTACTAAACTTAATAAATGCTCTGTATTAAGAATCGACGAGTATGTCCATCGCCATTGGTACACATAGTTTTCTACTCGTTCTTGTTTTCTAAACACAAGAAGAATGTTATCTATAAGAAACGATTTTTCTTTCTAAACAGACTGTCGCATGATCTCATTTTCGTTCACTTCCATTCCATCAAATGAAATTAATGCCGTTTGAAGTGGTAAAAATGTTTCCGGAATATTATCGTTGAGATACTGTTGCCATGTTGGTAAAACGATAGTTAAATGATCGTTTTTGCTTAAGATTCCATAAGATAGATATCGATTGGTACGATAGAGTTTTAAACGTTCCTGGCAAATTTTATCCATTGTTTTATCGAACGACCATGGATGAAGCAATGAAACAAGAAAATCCGATAGTACTGCCAATGATTTCGATGTTTGAGTCAATTGTAATCTAACATCACTATTTGCTGTGTCGATGTATTCTAGTAAAGACATAACAAATTGATGAGAAAGGGAAAGTACGAGAGAAGGGTTATGAAATGATTAGCAAGTTAACAAACTAAATATTACTAGGATTTTGAGCGTGTTGTTTTTCAAGATCGAATACGATAATTTGGCCTAGCGTGAATAGACAGAGAAAGAGAAATAAGACAAGAGAAGTTGTTAATCATGTAACAGCAAAAGCAAATATTTGAGTAAAGCATAGGAGTTCAGCAAATCTACGTACTTATCAGTTGAAGCAAATCGAAGAGAACAAGTATGGATAGATCATCGCCAAGATTCGTGTGAAACTGTTGGATGACAATCGGTAAACGATACTCCGTATGTTTGAACGAAGATGCACCGATTAAATCATGACGTAGATTACCTAAATCCAGAAACGATGACACATTTTAAATAATTTTCACATTCTTCGAACACTCTCTTACCGAGCTTTCGGTTTAATTTCTTCATTTGATCATGATCTCTTCTTTTCCAAGTCGATCGTATTTGAAAGTAGTGTGTACTTGTCATTGCCATTGACAATGGGTCATTCTGCGAATCGCCACCTGCATTCAACAGTCTCGGATCATTGTACCATTCAAAGAGTTCTTCCGCTAAGACTCCATGGGCAACTCGATCGAGGTTTCCTGTTTCAATTTGCCAAATAAATAAACTTCCATCTGAACATTTAATCAATAAAAAGTCATCATTAATTCGCCAACGAAGTCCAACAACAGGATACGATTGTCGATTAGCTAATAACACCGTTTTACGTTCTTTTAAACTAATCAATGCCACGCTATGGTCATTAGCTATGGAACAAACACAATATTGCACTTTGATCTAAAAACAAAATGGCGTGGCACAATTTTTTTCGTCAATGTCCTCATTTACGTTCAGCATGGGCGGTGGAATATGAAACATCAGAATGGCGCCGGAATGAATAGTAAACATATGTAATTGTGTGTTGGTTGCTAAGTCCCATAAACGTATGGAATGATCGATACTACCACTGAGTAAATGCTGAATATCATAGCGTGAGTATTCGCTATGTGGATGAATTAAACATGTGATTGCTTGACTATGTCCAGAGAGTGTTTGTACATCTGTATGGAACAAGTGAGTGTCGTATAGGAAGAAAAAGAGAATGGTTTACCGAAATTTTCTTGAGGTTGATCATTGCTTAAGAATAAATAGGAAATAAGTTTTAATGCAGGTAGAAGATAAATTTGTCCATTATCAGAACCGAATGCTAAACGGTCCATGGTAATCAAATGACAAGATGCTGTTAACTTCTGAACTTGATTTGGTAATAGCTTGAAAGAGAAAAGTCTTGTTTAATATTTATAGAATCATAAAAAATGATAGTTTACTTCGTTGAAAACTTTTCGCACTGTGTGGACATTCTTCATTGCATTTGACCATACATCTTTGTAAGAAACTGACCATGATGGGAAAATATCTATTGAAAATCAATGAGCAACATTGGAAAGAATGGAAGCAATCTTACCACTTGTGGTTGAAAATCGTGTTAAGTTGACAGTCCAAATAGAGAGTTGACCAGCACTATCAGCACGATAGATTTGACATTGTTTCAACTTCGTGTGACAATAATACACCGGCGTTTGACCCAATTGCTAAATCCATAGAAGTGATTGGCTTCTATCCATGACGAAGATTAAACACTTACTAATTCATTGCCAACATTTAGTCGACATAACCATTTGGGTATTTGCATATCTGTTTTATTGTGTTGCGAACGATATTTTGCATTTCCGAACGTTGCACTAAACATTAAAGTTCGACCAGAAGAAGACATTCGTGAGAGATGGATTACTTTTCTGGAAGTCGAAAAATATGTGCATAGCCTCGAGCAGAGAAGAGTATGACTAATTCTGGCGTTGGAAAATGTCCATAGATCCAATGTTCATCTTTAACGACTTCCTTCTCGGACGTTGTATATGTACACAATTCCGTAAAATCAACTCCATCAAATATCTAAAAGATTTCTCGAATTTTTGCTTCTACTAAATTTGAATAGGACTTACCTGCCAACCTCGCCCGTGAACAACCAGTATCATACGTTGACATTCCTCACAAGGAACAATGATCGAACCAAATTGTGTTCGAATTTCTCTACTTTCATGTTCTTTCAGTTCAATAGGCACAAGATCATTATTATTTCCTACACTTGTTCCCTCAATTGTAGTCTAAAATCTGCCACTGAAGTTAATCGATCGCACAACTTTCATTTCTTACGTTCGATGTTACTGTACGTGGATCAAATGCCCATAATTTCACACAACCACTATCCAACAATCCAATCGTGATGATAACATCTGAACAAAATGAAGCGAATCAAGGAAATGTACGCGAAATAGTTATTCGGTATACCTGGACCAGTAGATTTTTGAAAAATAAAAAAAGTCGATATCCATTCAGCATCTACATGTGATGGTATCAGTGTAAATTTAATTTCCAATGTACGCATATCGTAAATGATGATTTCGGAATAGCATCCACAACAGACAAGGAAATGTTCATTGGTTAATTGATAATTAAAACACTAAACACATTTTGAAAAACTTAACAATAACAGAATCGAAATTGAGCAAGTTTACTTGAGCTGCACGGTGCTTTAGATTTGTTCGAATATGTTCAATACAACGACCATCTTCATTATTCCACAACTTGATTTGCCTATTTCACCAATCGATTGTCAGGAAAAACATCGTCAACGGTAACTTACCCATCATTATCAGAAATACTAACAAATTGTTCAAGCTTGTGATTTCCTGTTGGTCCAACAATGAATGATATTTTACTTGTATGACCGATTAACATCAATTTTGGAATAATCTGAATGTGACGCCTCAACTTTTCAATAATCAATGTGCTTTAGTGAAGAATTTTACCTTCTGTCGATCGGGAACAATCTTCCAACAAACCATAAATCCATCATTTGTTCCTGTGATAAGATCTTCACTGGCGAAATTGATGAATAATGACGTGACAGACAATGACGGTGGAGCTTCTGACCATAATGCAAAAGGTAAAATAATTCGCGAATTGTTAGCCATGAAATCTAATCGTAAAAAAAGACTTCTGCTGTTGAGAAAATGAGAAATAACTCGTCAACAAATTTGACGAAGTGACTCATGAAATAAATCTGATTGGTGAAGATGTTCATCAAATGACGAAAAGGAGGCGTTTCATTCGATCTTAATTATCCATTCAGAACTATCACTGATTTAATATAATGCTGCACGCGTAAGAATAAGTAAAAATGCGTTTTTCTATTTTGTTTTTCAAAATAAAATTTTTTTCTCGAACTTTTCGTTTTCAATCGACGATGATTTTCATCTTGCATTTGTTTTTACGTGTAAACAAAACATAAACATTGTGGGATCTTCGTTGATAGCTGCTATAGTTATGTCATTTCTTCCGAGCAGAATTCTTTCTGTACTATTCGATCAAAAAGTTCGCGACGCAATTTCAGTATAGAAACTCTTGTTCTTCTGTATACATATTTACTTCATAGAGGAGATATGCTTATCAATGTCCAAAGTTCAGCAGAGAAAGAGAAGATAGATTGAAAACCTTGTCGAGTCATTTCGTTAACCGGATAGTTTAGAATCTCTATTGATTTTCAGAACAAGTCAGTCAATTGTTTTCTAGAAATATCTCCGATTAAAATAGACGAGCATCTTCAAGAATGCCTTACTTTAGAATAAACAACAGTGATCAAAAATGATTAAAGGAGCTTTTTTATTTTCTCTCTTTCTATAAATTAGATGATTATGTAGTAGACAAGCATGTGCAAGTAATTGGTTTGTATTCTAAGTGCATCTTCTATTCACTTGAACGAAAGTATGATTGGATGAATACTTGTTTTATTTTAGATATGTTGAATATACTTCACTGTTACTTATTCCAAAGTCTATTTTCGTAATTGATTTGAAATCAGAGAACACCAAAGAACGAAACTCAGACAAGCATAGCAAAACAACAGAACGTTCTTCATTTCTCAATGTTCATCAGTAATCGAACATTGTCGCCCTTGATATTACTACATTTCTCACATTATTCTCATATTATTTGTTATTCGAACTCGTGTCATGTCTACAACCGTTTCCGATGACAATAGTACCAATGGAGAATCACAACAACAACAAACCCCTGTAAATTCTAGTCGTTCTTCAACCATCCATCTGTTTGCGGGAGGGTAAGAGAATTGCATGACATCTGGATGAATGACCATTTTTCTTGTCAAATAGACTCGCTGGTACGTTCGGAGCGGTATTGACATGTCCATTAGAAGTAATCAAAACACGTTATCAATCGTCGAGAAATTCTTTTTCAAAAGGGCCCAACCATCTGGACTTGAGTTCATCTATGAGCAATACTCTAGTACATAATGATCGTCCAAACGCGTTCGTTGTAACTAAACGTCCAAGTATCATAAAAGCGTTCCGGTAAGATTGTCGGAGAAACTAGAGGGTTATTTCTTTGTTTCTTTTTGTCTCGCAACTTAATTTAGATATATTCTGAGATATGAAGGTATTCCAGGACTATTCAAAGGTCTAGTACCGAATTTAGTTGGTGTTGCGCCATCCCGGTAGGAGCACTAGATAGATTTGCTTGAGGAAATCGATTGATATTTGTCTAGAGCAATTTACTTTTTTGCCTATGCAAACACAAAATCACTACTAGTCGAATCGATGGAACGAGAAACACCACTAGTACACGTGTTATCAGCTGCAACTGCAGGTAATGGCCGAGTAGAATTTCAAGCAATTGCTCGTCTGTAGCGTGAACCTATCGTTTCTTTCGTAGGTATTGCCATGTCGACATGTACGAATCCATTATGGTTTGTTAAAACTCGTCTTCAACTTGATCAAGGGTAGGAAAATCAATTACCGCTTGTTTACCAAACGTCGCCCACAACATTTTCCTCTTAGAAACCTTCGCGCTATGGATGTGGTTCGAAACATCTATCGTGCTAATGGTATCCGAGGATTCTATAAAGGTATCACGGCATCGTACGTCGGCGTATCGGAAACGATCGTTCATTTCGTCATATATGAACAAATAAAAGCTCAACTTCAACTGAGCCAATTGAATCAAAATCATTCGCCGGACGACCCTGGTTTCTTCAATTTTATATCCTATCTTGGTGCTGCTGCTTGTTCCAAATCCTGTGCTAGTACTCTATGTTATCCTCATGAAGTTATTCGAACACGGTTAAGAGAAGAAGGTACTAAGTATCGTACATTTCTTCAAACATTTAAAACTGTGCTCAAAGAAGAAAGCATATCAGGACTCTATCGAGGTTTATTAACGCATCTCATACGACAAATTCCAGTAAGGCTTTTCTGATATTTATGTATTCGATTGATTGGATTTTGTTTTTTCCTCTCTCTCCCTCTCTAGAATACAGCAATTATGATGAGCACATATGAAATAGTTATCGCTTTGTTCTCAGCACCACCTCCATCGTCTTCGACAATCGAAGTGACAACTGTGCAAACGAAGAAAGTTTTGCTAAATGAGGCCGATTCAGAAGCCAACGCTTCGAATCAATCAGAAATATGAATATGTCTCTCTTTCTCTTCCTTCTTACTGTCTTTATCTACCTGCAGATTAGTTGTTTTCAGAAAACGTTTTTGTTTCTTCGGTGATTTTCTTGTTATACGATGTCATTCGTTTTTCTTCTTTCTTTTATATTGTTGATTTCCACCGGTGCATTAACATCACGGTTCCTCTCAAGTTCTTTGTATCTTGCCATTGTCAACTTAACAGTATATACATACATATATTTTTTTTTCTTTCTCATCTTTGATTGTAACACTGGTGCTCGCTTTCCTTACTTCCTCATATCTCTTCTGCTCGAGTTTTTGTCCGTCGATATATATATGTATATATATACATTGAAATGTCTGACTGTCAAAGATGGTTGTGTGATCGTGTTCGTTGCATTGTACTATGGCTCGGTCTTGTAGAATATAAAAATATAAAAAAAACAAGCAGAAATCGTCTACCACCCTGGGAAATGTCGGTACATTCCGAAAGTACATCGAGCAGATTACACTTAACTTTCGATGAGTCAGACTTCTCTCATACGTGTCGATGTCAACACATGACTCGAAAGCGATTAATAGTGAAAATATTTGCTTTCATATGACTGTAGATACTGATAATCATCATCGAATATACTTTGAAGCAAAAACGTATCGTATGATATGAAAAAAAAACACACACGAGAATAGTATATTGGGAAGAAGAAGAAAAATATTTAACCATTAATTCAATTCAGTCATGACTTTAACAAATTCTTCATAACGAATTTTGCCATCACAGTAAATATCCGCGTCTTCCATCATCTCTTCTGCTTCTTCACTTGTTAACTTTTCCCCTAGATGTGTCACAATATGAAACAATTCTTCTTTCGTTATAAAACCTAGATTGATCCGAAACAAAAACAAAATTATTATCCTATCAAGTAAAGAACAAATATATAACTGACTCATGAGATGTATATACGACTGATTCCCTTTTTTTATGAGGATGCAATCATACTTTATGTACTAATCGTGAAAACAATCGTACCTTGACCTTCTTTATCAAAAACACGAAATGCTTCGATGAGATCGATTTCATCGTCTATTTCATTCGTTAGATTAATCAATATTTGTAAAAATTGTTGGAAATCGATTTCATTGATTTTGTTTCGTTCATAGTCATCTTGAATTTCTTTGAGTTTCATATCGCTCGGATTCAAACCAGCTGATCGAATGATCAAACCTAAATCATTCACATCGATTCGACCGGTGTTTTTACGATCGAAATAAGTGAATATTTCTTCATATTCGTTCATTTGTCCATCAGTTAAATTGAAATTAGTTTCGGTCAACATCTTTGCCTGTGCGCCTTATCTTCAACTAATTAAGAATAATTCTGCTATGATGACACATCGTGATTACTAATAATTTCTAATATTTGTAATATTAAAACAATCAACAGAATAATAAATTCCCCAAATCAACAAATGATAAGAGATTATTTCTTGATTTATAGTATCGGAAGAAGTGTCTAACTTCAGCAATATATAAATTGTCTTTCAGAAAATGAAAGTAAACATGTCGCTTTACCGTTGATTTCAAACTGTTTGATAACTTTGCAATATTCAACTTATACATTTCTGTTTCTCATGGCCTCGATTTATCTATCTTTCGATAATCAAATGATTATCAATGAACAGTTGACAAGGGTTGTCTGTCTATGGATCAGCTTCTATATACTGTACATACACATAGAAATATACGTGTACCTCGTGCACGCTCTTATGACGTCGATTTTCGTATCTTATCGTAATAGTCGCTATTCTTTCTCTCCCCTATTCTCTCTTTTCGCTTTCTCTCATTTCACTTTTTCGTTTACTTCACGTCACTGCCTCTCACATCCCTATCATTCTCTCTCTCTCTCTCACGCTATTGTATATATGTTTTTTTATAACGTTTCAGCTTGTCCGTGCGTATATTGACTTCAGTCGATGTGTGTTTGTGGCATGTATATACTTGATCATTTCGTTTTCGCTCTGTGTTTATTCTTTCGAAATATACATTCATATACGCGTATGTCAAACCGATAAGCAGCTAATAGAAGCATGTCGACATGGTCAACGACTAGAAATACGTCCTCGACTGAATTGCTTGGGTTTTGTCAACAAGATATAGACAGCGTCAACAGCAAAACTTCAAGTAAGACAAAACTTGAAAGATGACAGCTGGATAGGCTACATGCTGATAAAGCAAATCGTAAAGAGAAGATTTCTAATGACCATGTACGAGATAGGTCGTGGTATTTACGCATGCTGAGAATTCGACACATATGCACATTTGTTTGACGATCTTGACACGTATTCTGTTGTCGTCAGACAATTTTTTGCACAGAAGAGTAAGATCACAGCAACAACAACAATATTTTCCGATAAAAAAAAATCAGCAGGCAAAGTATTTGAACGATTGTGTGTATATGCATAGGAGGATGACAGCTGCATAAACTACTTTGATTGGGACTCTTATGATGATCATTATTATCATATCGAAAGAGTGAGAAGGACAGAAAAGAAACTTCTCTACCTGATGAACCCCTACCGACCTCAGACTGCTGTCAAAAAGATAAATACTAATAACAGACATTATTGATAAGAGGACAATAAAGTTTGGACTAAACGATATTATGATTATTAAGTCCGAAAGGGCGAACCCTTTCTTCCTTTGTGTCTATCTGTCAGTCAATAGATGTTGTCATATTTATGTCAAATCTTGTCTTCAAGATTTCAACTTATGTACTCATCAATCATTGATTTTTCTCTAATGTAGAATTTCTTTATAGACTATTGTCTTGTCTATATGACACATATTCTTGTTTTCTTTCCGCTCTCTTTCTCCTTCTTTTCGTGTGTGTTATTATTTCAAGGAATGACGCGATCAAGTGATACATGTTTTTCCGATTTACTTCGTCCTGTTCGATGCATCGATAGCAGAAGATTAGAACTGTGCACAGTAGTACCGATGCAGTTATTCAATGTGTACATATGAGAAGCAAGCAAAAATAATTGAGACTTAGAAAAAACCGACCACACAGAAATGGATATTCATCAGTGAATTACTGTTTTCTATTCTTTCTTCTTTCTTTGTTTGATGTCGATGTAATCATCAAACTAGCATATTACCGTTGTCGTGGAGCAAAGATCATACTCGTGAGGATACACATTGATGAGCGTAGCAAATCAATATGTATATATGTGTACAGATGAGAGAAAGAGAAGAAGAGAACGAAGAGTAAGTCATATATAATATCAATATATAGAAAATAAATTGAGTTAAGTGTATCCAGGTGAGCGAAATTGTCATTGATTTCTTCGCCTATAAATCATATTGAAGAAGTAAATATATCGCATAGTTATTTATTAGATATTTATGAAAAAAACCTCCGTCTAGATCAAGATTTATCATCTTTTGTGCGCAAAAAATATGTCCGGTATGACGTGTACAGATTTGATTATTTTTATTTCTATTCGATCCAATATTGTTCTTAGTAGCAATCCCAATGTGTAATGAACATATAGAAGAAAATAATCAAATCAAAATGTTTCCTTTTTATCGTATAAATATTTATAGATATCGTTTCATATACAACTAATAAACTGAGAGCGTTCATCATCTGTTCGTTGATCAGATTCGCACTCCGACACCTGATAATTTCGATTTATTTAATATGCTAAATTAATCAGGGTCAACAAAAAGAAAACTATAGACGAAAAGCCCACCGACTGGTCACATCTTGAGTAGTAGTTTTCTTCTGTTTAAAAATGAAATGCTTGCGCGACGAACGACATTACTTGGAAAAAAAATATGTCGCCAGTATGGTAATGAATTATTCTTTCAATTTATTTCCTAAGATAACATTGAAGTCATAAAAAATGACGTCAATGGAAGTTATTTTGTAAGTGGAAGTGATGAACAAAGTTATCCATCTGTATAAGTTAATCAGAGAGAAACCAACATTTTTTTACCTTTTAGATTTTTACCTTTCAAACAACTGTCATGTGTTCTGTTCTTCCTATATCGTTTTGACGTTCGTAATTTTTTGTTATTTCGTATGTTATCAAAGTACACTCACAGTGCGAACAGCAGATATATCGTACGAGCGCGCGCATGCAAAGGAGAAAAGAAAAGAAAAGACACTTGATTGACAAGAGAGAAAAAAGAAAAAAAAACGTCAAAGAAATCAAGTCATTCTTTCGCCATGCGTTTATCCGTCACTGTATTCATTGACAGCTGGCTAGTCATAGTCAACGAGATTGAGCAACTGCTTTTTTTTTGTAGGAATATTGCATTGAGTGAGGAAACAGCTGTTAATCGAATATTGAAAACTACGTTCTCTTTTGTTACATGTTCGCATGGGTAAAATGTCCGATTTATGCCATGCCGATTAGTTTACCACGACCTATGCTGTTGATAATGATAGTATCTTTTCAAACTCAGCTGATTGAAATATAGTTGATCGTATTTTTTTCTTTTGCCTTTTTTCCTTAACTATTACTGATAAAAAGCGAATTAACATTGTCCCAAGTCAATTATAGTGATGTATCAGTACGCCAAATAGGACAGGCGAAGAGCGGAATGTTCTACTGTGTGGGATAAAGATAAGTAATGTGGGAACGATGACAAGAGGCTAGTTGAATCGAAGAGATGTAGAAGATGGGAGAAGGCGAGCGAGCGAGCGAGCGAAAGAGAGCAATTGCCTCTTAATATAATACAAACTACCAAAAATATTACGAATCCATTAGGGAGAATTGTTGTTTGATCGTATATAGGTAGAAAAGAAAGCAATCAAGGATAAAATATTGGATCTATTGTATATTGTATGTATACTTTTCACTGGTTTAGCTTATAATTGAGGCTAAATGGTATTTTACCGCGAGCTTTTTCTCTCCTGTTGACGTTTCACTTTTTCTCTCAATCTCATAAGAGGGACAGTTGAACACACCCTCAGGGTGTTCATATATTTACTTTTGTAGTGTTGCCTTTTTTTTTCGTTTGTCAGAGGATGAGAAGTGACATAATGAGCGGATAGCCTTCTTCCGCCTCCTCCCCCACTTTCTCCCTCATCACCTTCTTTCGTTTCTATAATCAATACATAATGACAACCGGTGACATTTCGGATCGATGGTCTGTTGGGAAACGCACGTACGAGAATAAGTAAAAATAGTTAAACAACCTTTGTATCCTTTTCTCATTATAATGGTTTTTAACAGCCGAGAACGAAAGAACGACTATCATCATCATCATCATCATCATCGTCTTCTTCTTCTATTCATTTTAAGTGATCCATTCAATTGATGTGCATGATGTATTACGTCGAGAAATGATTCGGAAAATGTCTGTCCGTTGGCTTGCGCGTTGTTTTTTCATTCCTAGCCATTCCTCATAAGAATTCAAATTGTTCTCGTTGATTCGACAAATCCACCTGACAACCTATGATTGTTTTCTTATTTGTAATTTTCATTATCGACCTTGCAGTGCGCTCGCCCACCGTATATGTCAAATCTAAGTAGATAATTTTGACGTATACCATCAATTTTTCTCTCTCTCTCGCTTTCAGTTTACATGTAAAAGCCGATATTTTCTTTTCAATTTTCAGATGTCTTTCTCTTTTTTTCCTCGATTGTAACGATTCGTCACATGTCGTTACACACTAGCGTTCCTTTATTGTTGTAAGCCGTTCTGTTTCGCTTCGATCAAGTGAATGAATGTGCCTTTCGCTCTCTTTTGCTTAATGTATACATATCAGAAACCTTCCTTTAATTTATACCTTCAGATAGACTGAAAATTGAAGTGTGTCGGTGTTTACTTTATCTGATTTCCTTCGAGCATTTCAAAACAACAAATTCTTTCTTCTTATTGGACACAATTAAATAAGTAGTAGTGTGACAAATTCCTTCTCTCTTTTTTTTCAAACGAGTTAAACAAAAGAAAAGGTAATCATAATCCAATTGAAAATGAAACAGAGGGAAAGAACGAGAAAAGACAGTGAAAGCACTTAAGAAAAAAAGAAGACAAAATTAAGAAGAAAGATATACCTGTGCTTACAGTAGTAGATAACGAAACTTGACAATACACAGACATACGATGTAAGTTCTCTTTTTTTCTCTTTTGTCATTCTATTAGGACAGATACGTCTTAAACCATTGGTTTCCAAACACCTGTATTTATTTTATTAGACATCTCTTTTATCTCAGCAGGAAATAGAGAATTTGACTGACAGATTGACTAATTTTTAGCAACGAAAAAGGAGCCAACCTAGAAATAGTTCATCTCATGCTGAGTAAAACAATGGGTCTTCTTCTTTGTCGTTGTCTTCGACCAACGTTATCTCATTTTCTTCATTTTCCCCATCAATCATCTTTAACAGGACATACATACATACATACACACACGCATTCCAAGGCAAATAGTTCTCTCCCTTTTTCTCGCTTAACAGATATTGATGATAGGATATTGAAACAAGTAGTTTTTTTCCCTTCTTCCAAGCTAGTTTCTTTTCAACGGATGCTGATGATACGATGATAGATATTGGCAGACAGCTGTTGAGGTGTCTGTTGGACTGCACACGCATAATTAGTGTTGAAAGATTTTCTTCTTAGAGCTACTTAGAAATCTATTTATTTATACTCATCATATAGCTATCGATCTATCTATTGAGGATAAATGAAACCATCGGAATAAGTATCAAAGCTAAAGGCTTCGACTTAAGACTTTAATTTAAAATGGAATTGAATAGCTTTTCTTTCGTGTAATCTCCTGATAGATCACTTTTCACATAAGTACACTCTGCTGTTGTTTCTTCTTCGTCTTTTGCGCTATAAACTGTATCTTTCTGCATAGAAAGAAACAAAGATACGAGAGCGTGTATGTGTAGACGTGATGACTATGATCAATGAGGCTCATCATTCGATGTAAGAGGAAGGGCAGTGATTTTCACCTATGTGTCTTCTCATTTGATCGAAATCATATGCATTGAATTAATCATTTTTTGTGTATCGATTTCTTCTCTCTCTCTCATTTTCTTTTTGACATCCAATAAGATGATGTCACACATTTTTATCTTTTTTTCGATCGTTTGATACACACACACACTATAAGGATGATAATGATGATGATGATTACTTATAGAAAAGAAAGAAAGAGAGATAGAGAGAAAGAATGGAAGAACAATAACATTGAAGAAAAGAAAAATAGATGGCCTGTATTGACTAGTACGTCAAATAATGGTTTAATGTCAATCGAGCAAGTTTCATATTCCCTTCTTAACTATTATCATTAGAACAGTAAGGAGAAGATGTGCAGTCGGATGAGTTTCGAAGAGATGACATCTGTCTTCTTTCAACACAAGCTTGATAAGAAAGCACATTAGAAGCAAGCGAGAGAGAGAACGTCTCAATTTATCTTCATTTTACATACGTTTTGATAAGAATGAAGAGAAAAACGAATCAAACACGTAATTTCTCTCATCAGCTGAGCATTTTTTCATTGAAAGAATAAAAAAAAGCGAAAATTGACTCTGTCTCTCTTTTTTTTTCGTTCTCTTCTCTCAAAAGCTAATCATATGGTAATTATAAAGTCTCAAGTCGATTAAAGACGTCCTGTTCTGTTCCCTTTACTCGTAGTACTATTAATTTAACACAAAGAAAGTATCGAACTACAATCTAAGAACCATCTGCATTTGATTCATGGCTATAAAAAAAAAACGAAGAGAAAAATCTTAGAAAAAGAAACACGTCGGATGACACAAACGGCACGCATTCTCAGATAGTGTAAGATAAGAGACATTTTTTGTTCGCCCATTTGTGTAAGTTGTAATGTTGCATACTGCACCTGACAGATAGTTTAACATCGTCTTCAGAATGTCCGTATTGTGCATTGTCATTGTTGCCTATTTGATAATTGTGAATCGAGTAATGACATTTGATTTCGCCTATTTATTGTGACAGGCCATTTTCTTCATTTTTACCTTATAATGCGATACAATTATCCGATTTAAACGTCAATTGAGTTTATTTTAGCGTTCGTTTGTTCTTTTCACATTGTAGAATATTCACTCTTATCATTTTCGATGATCGATCAGTCAACTGATTCATATGCTAGTAATCATTCACAAACAATTCCACATTATCAAACAATGACAAATCTCCTATCATCTTCGTATCTTTCTCCATCACCACCATCGACAACACTAGCAACATTACCACCATCATCATTATCATCATCTTCGTCTTCTCCTTCGTCGACAACCAACTGTACTAATCATGATCCTTTGTATCCTTCATCTATCTACCATCATTCAGCTGAAGTTATTGTTAGTCCACATCGTTCATCTCTAATGAATTCAGCACACTCGTCACCGTTTCATTATCATCATCATCATCAGCAGCAACATCATCAACAAAAACTTCGACATCGTCCTAGTGAACAAACAGACTCTGATTGTGATCTCGACAGTTCATCGAATTCGATATTATCATCGTCATCATCAACAACTAATATTAATTTAACGAATTCGTCGTCGAAGTTAAAAAAGCGACGAGCGAATCTACCCAAAGATAGCGTAAGAAGAGAAAGCAATCTCTCGAACAATGACTTCTATTGAAAAGATTTTAGGTTCGAATATTGAAGAATTGGTTATATGAACATCGTTACAATGCTTATCCGACAGATGATGAAAAAGCGAATTTATCTCGGCGGGCCGATTTATCTATAAATCAAGTGTGTAATTGGTTTATCAATGCTCGTCGACGTATTCTACCTGATTTACTAAAGAAAGAAGGTACTGATCCGAAAAAGTTCACAATATCTCGACGATTTTCTCGTGATCAAAAACGTTCATCACCCCCATCAGCGATATGTTCAACAAGCGGTGAAAATACTTCGACCGAACCAATGACGACAACAGTAACAGATAATACACTGTCCCAATCACTCGTGAAAATCAATGTCATCACTGAACGTAGTTCTTCACCTTCGTTAATACTTGCAAATAACTCTAATGTGCTCAACAAACAATTATCACAACAAATAGACAATTCTTCATCGTCATCATCATCCTCTTCTTCATCATCAACAACTGATCCTTGTTGTAGCGCATCAACTAGGCATCATGTTTTGCTTAAACCTATTCGTGATCCAGCCGTCATCAATCTAATATCGACTGAGTCTAAACAAGCACAAACACGTTTGATATGTTCGACTGATTCCTTATCAACATCAACTAGTTCGACAAATAGTTCAAGTGGTGATCTCGCCGGTTTTCAACTTCTTGTTGATGTAGCTGTCAGAGAACTACATAGAATACNAAAAGATGAAGGAAGAAAGAGAAAGTAACCGACAGAGAAAGCAACCTTGATGTAATAAAGAAAAAAAAGCGACACCAGTTGTTTCATCCATTTCCAATGAAAAGGAAATCAATCGTGGAAGGCAAGTAAGTATCAAAGACATATTGCGAGTTAAAAATAAGTTATGAAATCTTTTTCGATCGTTGAAATCGTCCCACAACTCAATTGTTTCGTCACAGGCGGTGAGAGGATGTGTTTATACGCACACCAAACAGTAACACCCGCTAGAACGAGTAGATCGATCAAAATTAAAACGAGGAGAACAATTTTGCTGATTCGTCGTTGTTTTGAGCAGCGGAATATGTTAGAGAGTGTCGGTAGCCGTTGAACTGTATGGATATCACTCGTATCATCTGATATCCACGGAAGTTGTTCACATGTTCCATAGCATACTTCACGTTGATCAGTTGAGATATATTCGATTCGGTTTAAGGATTCACATAGAGTCAAAAATTGATTTACTGTTGATAGATTTGAATAGTGCATAGAATAATCCGTTTGGTTATGAGAGTATTCGAAGATCATTAGATAGTTCTGCGAGTGAATGTAGAATTGCTCAGATTTCCAATTGATGAACATCTTGATAGGTGAAATTAGATTATAAATATTCACTAATAACTGACACGATGATGTTTCTAATTGGCAAACATGGAGTTGATGAAAATGCTTTGTTTGGTAGAGCATCCATGCGTTTCGAAAGTTCTCATCAATGAGGAAACCCAACGCCCGTTCAGTTTTAGGTAAATTAAGTAGGTAGTTCTGTTTAAACACCGAAGATGATAATGGTAAAGTAAATGTCTGCATAAGTAGTGTTCGTGGATCGAATAAATGCAGATAACGTTGGCCAAGACTGAGATGAACTGCTGACGAATAAGCCCTGATACTTAGTTTTTCTTTCCAATAAGTATGTAGAGTGTCGAGCGTGTTCAAAGAAGCAATCGAATATGTCGCATTGAATTCATTTAATAGTAACAAAATTGTGTTAGTTCGCCGGTGAAACAAGCCTTGTTCGATAGTCGTGTTTGACTTCGTTTCGTAGATAACACTCGGTGGATTTCCATCGAATAGGAAAACAGTTCTCGATGAAATCAACACAAAGATGTTTTCGTCACATTGTTCATTGGCGTTGCTCATCGCAGAAATCATCAAAATCAAAACTATGATGGAATAGAGAAACCATCGTGCCATTATGTTTAGTTATTGGATGTAAATAAGACGGCAAATGACTTTTGCAAACCAAACCACCGACAAATGTCGAAGATATTTGCTTATCAGACGAATTGAAAGACCTTTTGAATTTGATAATAAAAAGAATTTGATGCATTTTCTTTCCAGATTCGAAATGTCTTCGAAAACGGGAGAATCAGATGTTCAATTGGAACTTCATTTCCTCGACTGCCAGCCTGATTGTATTGATCGTTCTCTCAACGATCAATCTGTTTTGGATCATCTATATCGTGCGGTTACTCAAAACATACTTCAATTGGAAAATTCCGATCAAAGGAATCAATCTCATCGGATCACCGATATTGATCAATTAGTTGTATTACTTAATCACGTAACATTTACGCCCAAAAGTATGACAAAACATATACCGATTGAACTGATGAAAAACGACAATCGGCAAGTAGAAATTCCGATTATCAAAACAGAAGCTAAACATTCACCAATGGAAGTTCAAGTAGAAACAACAGGAGTCATTCCTCCTGCACCACCATTACCTCCTTCATTGGATTTAGCGATCAAATTGCAAAAACAAGCGATGAAAATAGAAGTTCTTTCACCGGATAAGAATTCTCTATGGTCCTCGGTAAGACTTCCTTTTATTCATATTTAATCCAAATCCTGAGTCATGAAAGTAAATAATATCCATGAGTCATGTAACATTTGCTGTGTTTCAGGTAAAGAATCTCGACGTGGCTGATTACTTTACTCAAGCGAGTCCATCTACAAGCTATCGTATGTTAACTGATACATTAATTGCAATAGAAAATGTAATTATTTAATTTTAGAATATGCAGAGAGACGAAAAGAATCAAAACAAGAGACGATATTGGACGCCAGAAAAGGCTACAATTTGGGTTGGTTGATTTTGTTTTCTTCGTAAATCGTCTATTAGTGAAGGGGATGTATGCTGAGTTGTATTTTTGAAAGTTTTTTTTTATTGACGCAAGGGGTAGCATCGAAGTGAAAAATGATAAGTCTGCATAGAACGAAAAGAAAAACAAGTATTGCATTTTTTATCGGCAATCAAGTTGCGTTTGTTCGTTGCTATAAGAGTCCATTAATGCGATTTTGCTTGTGGTAAATAACTCCGAAATGATCAAAGCTAACGTAAAAGCATGATTTTTAAGAAAAGTCTATCAGTTGCTGTCTTCAGCGAAAAAAACCCGATGTTTACATTCGGGCAAACTGTAATTTCGAACGATCGATATTCTCAAAATAATTCATCTTAAACTACGATGACACATTCGTCTTCGAAGCGAAGCTTTTTTTCGAAAACAGAACGAATCATAAAATATTTCGAGTGTTGTTTTTTTCTCTCTCTTTTTTGTATTCGTCATAACATTTACGCATATATATTTATAAGCGGGCCTCACCGAACAGAACAAAGTGATTCGAATTCGATTTTGTTTCGTTACCATTTGAAAAATGTCTTCTACTCAATAAGATGTATCCAGCTACCCGCAGTTCTGATTCAGATTCCAGCTGGAATGATATTCTAGGCTCGTCTCTTAGTTCTACCGAATCACGCAAGCTAGGAGACGTTAACTTCCTCATTTCACAAGTAGGAACGTACTACTCTAGGGAAGGAAGCATCTTCGATCCTGAGTATTATGATCCCGAAGTAGCGAGAATAATTGAAGAATGTATCCGGCCAAACCAAAGCAATCACTTGCCGTCTAATTACACACAAAACACACCAAACGGTTACTCAGCACCTCCGAGAGTATTCGATCATGAGACTATTGATGGTATATGTGCTTCAGTGTTCGACGATAGTCAGCAATCAAGTTCATACCATGGTTATGATAATAATTACATGGCAAGTTCATTTGATACGTATCCAACGACAACGAATCAGCAATATCTGTACACAACGCATAACTCAATGCTCAATTATCCGGAACAAAACTATTCATATATTGAATACCAAGCTCCGCCAAATACGTATTACCAACCGGTTGTTGACAATAATGTTGTATTAGTAACTGAACCTTATCGACAATCAAATCCCTCAATTCGTTACGAAACAAACAACAACGACTCGGACTTATTCAATGTCGATCTTGGACTCAGTGAAGTCACATATTTCAACACCGATATGCAAATAGATTCAGTACCGTATGCGTCTGTATCAAAAGAGCCGACGTCAAAATCCGACAGCATAAGTGGCTTCAATCTTGATGAATGGCTGATTGTATCGAAGACAGATGGAAAAAAGCATCGACCTCATCTATGTGAATTTCTTCGAATATTACTTGATAATCCCAAATACTCGCATGTCGCTCAATATACTGATCGTAAAAAAGGAATTTTTAAATTCCTCGAACGACATGAAGCTGCTAAACTCTGGCAAGATGTTAAAGGAAGAAACTGTAATACTAGTACGATCATTTTCTCACTTCCATTCATTTGCCAACCATTGAACTTTATTTTTTAGAGATGACGTACCTGAACCTAGCCAGAGGAATTCGTTTCTACTATCCAAGCGGAACTATGAGTTCAGCTGAAGGTCGTTACACGTTTCGATTTGGCCCGGGCTCGAGATCGAAACGATCGAAAGTGCCAGCAAATCACTAACATTACAGAAAGTGCTGTCATTCAGATGATGTACTTCGTTTTTCTGCGCTTGTTGTTTTGTTGTATTGATAAGTTTCTCTGTTTTTCATTTTTTTATGTGCGTTCGATGCAGTTTAAAACTGATTTGTAGTGATAAGCGACTCGTAAGACGCGACTAGTTTACAAAGGTTGTATACCCAAAATAGAATCGTTGTCTTCTAATGATAAGAACATCCAATGTATATATCAGATGACTATGATTGATGGATTCGTTTGTATTTCAGGAATTATGTTGGCATTTACTAAACGAAATCCAATTGAAATAGCTGAATCGATCAGAAATCTCGATTCAGAATTGAATTCCGTTGAATTCATTCAACATTTGATTCAATACATTCCAAATGAAACAGAAGTAATGTATTACCAGCCGGCAGGCAACCATGAGTCAGACTCAACAATTTCCATTTCGCACAGTTGACTTGAAGATCACAAAGAGAGGGAGAGAGAGAAACTAGTTATTACGATTTCTATTCTCAACATATTTGCAAGTAACAATAACTTCATTGAAGGATTAAAATCGGTATTTGAGTGGCAAAAGCACTCTGTAATGCTAAGAACGAAATATATTCTTGATCCTTTTGCCAGAATTGTCGCAAGCGCTCTCGTTTCGACGTTAGGTGACTCTTTCATATACAATTCAAATATTGTCTCGTCCAAATTACATTCAATCCGTATGCAAATAAATAGCGTCATTTCGTCTTTCAGTTCGTCAGAGTACTTCGTCAGCAAAACGAAGCGCCGTATATACTCAGAAAAATTTCTCCAGAATTGAAAATATCAATTGAATAAATTTCGTTTATAAATAGATCAATGCTTTCACTCGATTGTCAGGTGCTAAAGAACAACTGACTCCTGCGGATCGACTCGTCTATGAGGTAGATCATGCATAAAAACGTTTCTCAACGTACTGATTGACTTGTAAATTACAGATCTTACAAATCCCGTTTTATATGGAACGTTTAAATACCTTGAAATTCAAACTAATCTTCGCTGATAATTGTCGATTGATAACCGAGCAATTGCAACTGCTCTATGATGCCTGTGTCTTCTTATACCACTCCGTACATATAAAAAAGTTACTCGAAGTAAAATATTCGTCGCGTCGTTTGACCTTTATTCGAATTCGTTGTTTTTTGGCATTTAGATCATCCTCTCGGTTATTAATCATCTGAATTCAACTCCGACGCATCGGATTCTTACACTTGATGATCTATCGAAAGTTTGACGAAACAAAGCTTTTTGTTAGATTTTGAATCGTTCGATTGTGATTAGGTAAGCGAATTGAAAACACCGAAAACGCGTGTACCAATTATAAACATCGTTTCTCAAATATGTCGCGATCGACATCCGGAAATCTTCGATTTGAAAGACAACTATCATCTGATTTTCTCCGCAAGCAAAAGTAAATTTGCTGATTAGGAGAAATCTTTCGACAAAAACATTTCTATTTAGTCGATCTCAATATAGTTAAGTACGAAATTGATCAAATGCAAAAAGAATTTCAAGTAAGCGAGTAACAATGCAAATCATTTCATATTTGTGTTGAATACATTCTTCTTTCTCAGCAAATTCAATTATGGATGGAGAAACTCGACGTGAAAATGAATCTTCAAGTAAAACAGAAACATGCGAATGCGAAAAGATTTGTTTTTCTCTTCTTCAAGACATTTCTCAGTGATTGTCGTGAGAAGTTGCCCGAGATTGTTCGTTCATGTCAACTAACAACTGATCAGTATTCTAAAACAATTTCATATTTTACGCAACAAACAACAACATCTGTTATTTTTCTTTCAATCTTCGCCAATTTAATTCAATCGCTACAGGTTTGCGAAAGCAAGACGATAATCAGTAAACTTTCCTTCAATATTTTTCTCTTGCATAGATCAAACGGCAAAACTAACGGTTCGTTTTGTTTTCACAACTAAAACAAACATTTGGCAACGCCTCAAATATTCGAACGACATGTTTAATGGATTAGGCAATATTTTCTTTCGTCAAAAGAAAAAAATTCTCTCAAAGTGAAACTTCATGTTTTATGTAATTCAACAAACACTTTTCCTCTCTCTCTCCTCTTTCACCGCCTTCGACTTCACATCATTTATAAAAACGAACATTTTACTTCATTTAAAGGAGAGCGTAGACGTGTTTTGGTAGCATTTTCATACGACAACACAGCGTTAGAAAGCGAAAAAGATGGGTCTTACAGCCACTCAGATGAGCCTATGTTTCCAGTCCTATTGGTATATGTGGTATGTACAAATGGATAAGATTTGCATATGAGTACATAGGATCTATTTGTAGGTTAACCAATGGACTTGCAGGATTAATTTTCATTGGTATCAATATCGGTAAGAGAAGTTGAAATTCGTTTTTGAGTGAATAACTTTTCGGAGTGTTTAGGTGTTGCGGCATTCTTTCTAAGAAAATTTCAATTGAAGAAACAAGCCAGTGCTTATGAACGAACACCACAAGTAGCAGATACTTCGAAACGACCATTCTCAGCAAGTGAAATCCAAACGTATGAAGATCCATACGCCGATCCTTATGCCGGAAATATCTCACGTGCTTCGTCACGCAAATCACGTAATGTCTTTCTTCTTTCGGAAGTTCATTGAAAAACTTTTGTTTGATTTTTCGTTCAGCAATGTATCCAGGTGCATCAGAAGACAATGAAGAATTTACTGAATCGACTCTTAAGCTCCTAAATGGATACCGTGCACGTCATAGCGCTGAACCGTTAACCGTCAATGAACAGTTATGTGAAATTGCGCAACGTTGGGCAGAACAAATGGCTCGTACTGGTAAATTAGAACATAGTCCAGCTGAAATGCGTAACTTCGGTCGACAAACTTTGGGTGAAAACTTCGGTGCATCATTCCAAGCTGAATTAACAGGTTTGCCTTGATCGATTCTCGATAAAATTCTTCTTCGATCGAAAAGTTTCGTTTTAGGCGACAAAATGGTTCGTAAATGGATGAAAGAAAGTAAACGATACATGTACGGTTTCGACGGTCGTAAAGATACAGAAAACTTCACGCAATCTGTTTGGCAAGCATCACGCGAAATCGGTGTTGGTCGCGCTCGATCGGAAGATGGAAACTGGTGGTATGGTGTTGTTGTATTCGACCCACCAGGTAACATTCCTAACCAATATTCCAACAATGTTCTTTTACCAAAAGAATAAACATAAACAAACCGTTGTTCTTCGTATTTATTGAAACTATACTTCCTTGCTCATTTTCAATCTTTTTCGTCTATTGAATATATCAACAGTAAACATGTAATTTTCAAATTGTGATCGAATTAAATCAAGATTCTGTCTTCTAAGAGATATAATAAAATTTATCGGCTCTCTAATTATCTCTGAAAGTGAAAAGAAATATCGCCGATAATTATTCATAAACGTCATGATTTGTGTTTTGATAGAATATACATCTGCATATATAATAATATTTGATTTTTAGCATTTAATAATATATAACATAATAACGAGAAAAGTACAGAAAAATAAACGATTTCAACAACACGAATACAATCATATCACAATTTCCTAATCCTAGTTGATTCAAGAATAATCGTTATCCCCATTTAAAGATAGATGCTAAGATATTTTTCGCCGAGTTCGAATGCGTTTCAAGATATTTCCGTGAAACGGGATGACTATAGAAAATAGCACGAAGTTTATTGATGATTTTATGACATTCGACCACAGACACACACTGACTTAACGATTGTTGCACTAATTCCACATCTTTGACCACTTCATCCCATCCCGGCTCATTCGGTACTTCCCAAACATGATGATTGATTGTAATTCGCTGCATTTTTGGTCGTGACAACGCAGCACCAAACCATAATAATAATATCAACAATAAATAGAGCAGATATGAAGGCATATTAACAAACCTAGAAATGTAACATTAAAATAGTTTAGCACACATATATACATATATCTCGAGCAGAAGCGTACTTACAGACACAATCGTAGGAGACTAGTAAATATGCATCACCCTTTCAACATTTATATGCTGTCAACTAATCCTTTTGTATATCAGACCACCCACACTTTTTCTCTTGACATTTTTTCCTCTTTTTCTTTATACTCCAAGAATTTTCTAACTGCATTCATTATCACGTTCTGTGTGGCACTGGCGACGAAAAAACGCACTTTTTTGACATATGAAGAATTTTTTCGAACCATTGAGATATGCATTACATGATCATGTTATTCATTGCAGTTTAAATCGAATGCAAATAGAATGACGATTTTTGGATGTAGATGTTTGCCAAAAGTACGTACGAACAATAACGTCAATATTGAATCATAATGACGTTTTGATCATTGAGAATGACTGGATGATTTTCAATTTAAATATTCGAAATTCTTATCTTTAAATTTCAAAATTTCGAAAAAAACAAGAGATATGTGATTACGCAGTTGCTTTGCATTATTCAATATTGTACGTGAATCGGTGCTCTATTAATCATACGTTGGTAAATCCTATAAGAAAAGACTCTGATATTTCGAATACATTTGTATCATGTCATTTCTGATGAAATTTCAGAAGATTAGCGTTTTGAGTACGTCAGAATAGTCATGATGATTTCAAGTGAATGACTTCATGCTTGCAGTTATCTGTAAATTTGTTGTGCTCCACTAGAAACCATATAGCAATCGAGTAATTAAACATGGAAGTACATCGAGTGGGAAAATGAGGACACGATAAGCGAGAAACCATTTGTAATATTACTTGAAAGTGATTTGAAATGAATTTAGTCAGTGATTAGGAAGTTTTAATATCCTTTCGACATGAACTTAAGTAGTTCATAGCACATTCACAAAGAATGTTCTATTGGGGCGTAGTATTCTAGTGATTACCTATTTACATGATCGTGCAATGAACTATCGATCTACTCTCTGAACTGATTTTTCAATCGTTCATTCTATTGTACAGAAATATAGACTTTGTATCTCGTGTGAAATCCTTCTTGATTGATTAATTACACTTCACAAGTACTGAATTGACTAGACCAAGAAGGAATTGTTGAATGTAGATATTGGAACGGGAATTGCTGTTGAAAAATCGTTGTATTAACTATATACAAGATTTTGTATGAATGTTTCTATCATTACGAGAGTATCTATTCGCTATTTTCATAGGATTTGTTAGAATTTCAAAATTTCGCGTTTTCGATCGTTGTTACGAAATCAATTGAACAAGTGATGCAAATCAGTTCAATCTACGAAATATCTTTCGATAAAGATTAACTGTTACCCTGAATGACAACGACGATACATTCCGAAATAGATTCTTTTGTTAGAATAAACTATTGTATTCATCTTTTCATACCTCGAACGTCATCATCCAGTGGTAGATCGATCTTTGTAATCGAACTATCTTGAATTCAAGGGGGTGTGTCAGGGTGTGAATGTATTCGTGTGTTAAACTTGCTTTTCTGCCGTCTGTCCTCGACGATGTGATGTTTATTTCGTTTGTATATTACAGTGTACTTTGCTCTGGTGGCCTGATCATGTGTTGTTTTTCTCTTTTTTGCGTTCTCTGACGCATGTTCTTATTCTTCTCCACGATTCTCACACATCCTGTCCCTCGATTTTGTTTTAGTATAAATACCCGCAGCTCTCACTAAGTCAATTATACAGTTTTCAAAATTCAATAACTGACCATTTGGTAAGTAGATGAATGATTTATTTTCCATTGAGTGACATCCAGTTTCAATGATATTAGACAAGAGAATAAGTTTTGAAAGTGACTTTTTTTTCCTGTCAGAAGAAAGACCGAACCCTGAAAAAGAATAACCTATATTTTATTTTCGACAAATAGCAATCGATCAGGATCATATTCAAGTTTTCAAGTGGATCATACTTGACCAAATTAGATTCTCTTGACTTAATATTCATTTTACCTTTCTGTAAAACATGTCTTTTCTAGTATTCCCTTCTTTAGGTATATTTTTTCTAATTCAGTTGAAGTTCGATATTTTTTCAATATGAATAACCTCCGATGCATTTAACTAACTTAACCTTATACTGAACCAGTGTTGAAAAAGAAGCATGCGATTTTTGGACAATTAATTGCGTTTAAGCGAAGTTCTTCTGGATTTGCAAACCTACCGTCTCCGTGAAGCACACGGTCTCTCATTTCGACGATGAAATACACAGACTAATACCTTTTTTTTGTACTTTTCTTTGAGAGCTGAATAAATTCGAAGCTCTATTATTTATACACCTTATATTACGATGTTTACCAGTCACGCTATAAGCTTCTCTGTTGAATTTACGCAGTACTTTCAACCCTTGATCAGACAGTCGGAGAAATGAATGTTGTGAGTTAAATATATCTACGTAATGATACATTGCGCATACGAGGACTTTGTTCTGTACTATCCGTTTTTGGTACATGTGCCCTGTAACATTTTTTCTCGTTCTTTCTTTATTGGACCCTTACGGTCGGGTACACTAGCAGATCGGTTATAGGTATCAAGTACGAAAATACTTTTAATGTTCCTTATGTCAACAATATGACGATGTTTTGCACTGTTAGGATAATGTTGTACATGTGCCGTCGAAGGTTACATAGATTGAAATATAAATAATTGAATGAGAATTTAGGCATAGTACTACTAAGATTATTTTTCAATGTAAATAAACAATTTGAAATTCAAAGTTCGAAACATTGTTTCTGTCGAGGATATAGACATGATATATTCGATGATTTTGTTTGGTGTCAAGTATAACTTTTCGTCCTTTTCTCCTTTCTGTTTCTATTTCTTTCTCTTTCCTTTCTATTCGATCTTTGCCCTCGATCGGAGTATAAATACTAGCGTACTTCTGTGTATTCTAACATAATATTCAACCGTAGTTAACCACGATCGGTCACA